TATATATATATATACACCAACAGTATTTTTTTGCACATAAGTAAACAATTTTTCTATACTTGACAAATGTTCACCATGATCTCGCATGTTTTTCTCCAATAGGGTTTGATGCCATAGAATTACCCATGGCAGATTTTGTCTCCATAGTGAGCATCTTTAGAGATATTTTCCTCAAATAATCTGCCTGGAAATCAATAATTCAGAGGTGAGAAATGTGAATATTGAGATTCTCACAAGGGACTAACAGATAAGAGTATAAAGCATCCAACTAATCACGATATACAGGATTAGGTATAGAATCATAAGCATAAATGTGTAATTATTTTGTCACGAATAACTATACCAAAATACACAAATTTCTTGTTTCAAAATTAACACCCAAGTCTCGACAAACCATTGACTTAACAACCAATAACCATAATACCTTCTACTCTATCTCAGCTTCATTATTTCCACGGCCAGCTAAAGATAATCAATTGTTCCAATGATCATTCAGTCTAACTAATTCTCCCAAATAAGTGCTAAAAGTTAATATGGATGGGAAGAGTTTTGAACCCATTAAATAGTTAAGCTCTGAGCATATAAGCCGGATTCTTCCTAAACAACTAAAAAGGTTGGGTGGGTTAGTAAAATTATTCATTAGTTCATGCAAACAATAAAGTCAGATATCAATCATATAAAAAGAAAATGTTGGGTCTGTCAAAGTCCACAAGCAGTTCAGTTAACTTATTTCATTCAGTGATAGTTCTTTTCTCAACCTGTTCACAAAGCTGATCTCCAATTCTTTGATTCACTCCCAGCATATGCCATCCCAAACCTACACAAGAGTAGATTTTCTTGTCTTTGCTTATTTACACAGTTTGCCATGTCAAGGGTTGGTGGGGAGAGGTTTTAAGGCTGGCAAGTCTATGACATATAGAATTTCTCCCCAGTTAACAACTTGCAAAATGAGGACGAACAACAGAAAGCCATTCCAGTTCTATGCACTACCAAATGAACAAAAACTAGTCTTTATTTGAAATGCAAAACATCAACCAACTGAAACAGCTCTAACATTAAACCCCATACATTAAAAAACATTAAAAAAAATATCATCCCGAAGTTGAACAACTGAGAAAGGAAAAATAAAGAAAATGAATGGAACCAAACAAGAATGGCAACAGAACCATCTATGTGGCATTATGTGTACACATGACAAATACCCAAGATGCATGTAGCATGCACATGTAAATACGTAGGTATACGTGCATGATTATTGATGCATGCCTGTCCATATGCACAATACTCAAATAAAAGGATGTTATTTGTAATAGAAATATCTAAATATACAGAATATTTATCAAAAACATTATGTATGACGCAGTTTAGAAGCCAAATTTAAAAACCTTCAAGACACAACGTTATTTGAAGGGATTTACCCACTAAAATTAGGTAGGGCTTCAATGATTATCTGCTAACCAGAGCAAATAAGTAGTGTTTGTCTCACACGATACTGACATATACACTTCTATCTTACATACCCAATTGTATGATACAATTCAGTGCGAACCCAATTCTAGATTCACATTGTCATATTCTCATATTTCATTCCAAATAAGACTTCCAAGTTGGCAAATTTAATAGGGATATGAAACTGTAGAATGAGATGAAATTTCTTGATAGGAAGTGAAAAAGATGAAGAAAAGGAAGGGAAACCAAGAAAACAATCACTAAGTATCCACAACTAAAAATATAAATTACAGATTGACAAGGAGAGAAAGGAGAACCTGGTTCTCAGCATTAGTAAAGATCTTCTCTTCAAATCTTACAGCAATTTTCGTGAGTACAGACAGTCCATCGGGGTCACCTGCTGGCAAGTGTCTCTTAAGAGTTTCCATTCTGCAAATGAAAAACAGTAAAGGCCATCAACTAGAGCAGTAGAGCTTGTGGTTTTATGGATCAAGCCATTTAGTATTTAAGGAAAATCCTCCAATATCCGATGAAGACCTGACATTAGTACTAATTAGCCAACACTCTCAAAAAAAAAAAGTTCATACCTTATTCCATGATTAACCAATCAAAACAACACCTGTTGATCAAAGGCCTAAAACAACACCTGCTGATAACAACCAGACCTGATGCAGGGACTTTTGGATGCCCTTCCTTGGCTTACGGCAGGTTCAGAGGCACCACCAAAGTTCCTCACAAGCCGGAGAACGGGACTGAAAGGGGTACCTTTCTAAGCTAAGAAATATATACTATTAACTATATTGTCTTCTAGGGCAACCATGTAAACAGGCGAGCTAATACGGGAATGAGCCCCCTTACCACAGTTCCTAAGGGAGATAGAACCCTCCTAGCTACGCTACCGATTGAAGATTCATATGCATATCAAGACCCAGTGGGAAAGGCACTACCCACTTGAAGGTCGGGGTATAACCAATTCAAGATCCTTCTATAGTTGCAGATCAAGATGAATATGGATTGCACACGCCAGTAATAGCCTTTCTCATACAACGAATAGACAAGCTTATTCTCCGGCCTGGGCTTGTTCCAACCTCTTGATTGCCGTTCTGAGAACGGTTCCGCTATTGAATATGGAACAATGTTGCGCCTGCCGATAGCAGCTGCCGAAACCAATATTAATGTTTCGGCATTGCCTCTGGTATTGCTCAATCCTATTCTCAATTCCAAGGCCAAGTGTATGTCACCAACGCAAAAAGAAACTTCAAATTTATATAATTAAATATAGTCAATCAACTTATACGCAAATAGTCATTACGAAGATCCAATGTTCAAATTTTTGGGGGAAAATATAAAAATAAAGAGATGTCCATGATCATTTATAAATACTCTTTATTCCCAAACGATTAAGATAAGGACCCAATTTCTATGCGGCCAAGCCCGCATGCATAGAAATGCGAGCATCTTAAT